AATATATAAAAAAATTATTAAAAATATTGTTTATAATTAAAATTTAATCAAAATTTATTTAAAAATAAAAATTATATAAATATTTTTACTAAAAATATTTATTTAAAAAATATATATCAAGATTTATTAAAATTTTTTTAAAAATTTATACACTTAATTTATGTAATGAAATCTTTTAATTTATAGATTTTAATTTTTAATTTTATTTAATTATTTTTAATAAAAACTTTACTAACTCCGACTAAATAATTTCGTATAAATATTTTTCCAACAAAATTTGACCCAAGAAAAACGCAACCGGCTAGATTTTGAAGCCCAAACAAAGATAATGCAATCGAGGCCCAAAGTTTAACTCTTAGCCAGCTTTGGACTTACTCAACGCCGAATTAAAAAAAATATCTACCTTCTGGTTGGCCATTGACATAGCTGCAAAAGGGTAAGGCAAGGGATATCAAATGTCATACAATACAAGAAACTTATCCCATTACTCCCATAAATCTACAACAACAAACAAACATAGAAACGAAGTAAAAGAAGTAGCTGAAGCAAGAAAGAGTGGAAGTCATGTCTGCTCCGGCAACTTCTTCTGCTACAAATGTTTTCGGGTCTGGAAGCTACAGCACTGTGCTTAAAAAGGTGGACTCAGTCACCACTTCTTCACTGCCTGTTCCACCCCCAAAGCCACTTCTGATTGCCACGCCTTCTGAAAAGGGGGAATTCCCACTACTTGTTTTCCTCCACGGTTACCTTCTTTACAACTCTTTCTACTCTCAGCTTCTCCAACATGTTGCTTCCTATGGCTTCATTGTCATTGCTCCTCAGGTATAGGCCTACAGGCTAATCTGCTTTCTTTTTCCTTTATGCCTAGCCCATGCATAAGCTTATTTGTGTTATGATCTTAACCCTTTTTTTCATGTGCATAGTTGCGGAAGAAAATTGTGATTGTTTTAATTTTCCCACTGATAATCTTGATTTTTTTCTGCAATTGGGAAAGTAGTTCAAACTTTGACAGCCATGAACATGATGGAAATTAAAGAAATTTAGAGGCCTTTTATGTATGGATTGTGTTTCAAGGGTCCACAATTTTCCCCACTTTGAGGTCAAATTTCATTGAAGTTGTTGTAGTCCACATATTCTGAATTGTGAAATTACCTAGTGTAACCACCAAACAGTCAAACCTTGCTGACACTGTCTTGTTTAACTTAGCCAACAAGGCAAAACAAGCAAGTGTGAAAAGCTTGACCTGTTTTCTTTGCTCAACGTTGAAAGGGGAATTGTGGCACCAACATTAATGATTATGACGTGATGTGATTAGCAGTAGATGAGCCAGAGGGTCCAGATAATTCAATTATTTCTGTATTTCTGATGATTCTGCTTTTCTTACTGTTGATATAGGAAAACAAAAACAAACACAAAATCAACAATGTAATAATTTTCAATTGCCGTTCTGCTTTTGAATCACACCCATTTCTTCATAATTTATACTCCAACAGTTGTATACCGTGGCTGGACCGGATGCAACCGATGAGATCAAGTCCACAGCTGCAATAACCAATTGGTTATCCAATGGAGCACTCCAAGCCTTGCTTCCACTTGATGTTAAGCCAAATTTAAGCAAGCTTGGACTTGCTGGCCACAGTCGAGGAGGCAAAGTTGCTTTTGCATTGGCTCTGCAGAAAGCAATGACTACATTAAAGTTTACAGCCTTAATAGGTGTAGACCCGGTTGATGGAATGGATAAAGGGAAACAAACGCCTCCTCCGGTACTCACCTATGTTCCTCATTCATTTAATCTTGATATGGCAGTGATGGTTATCGGTTCGGGCCTTGGTGAAGTGAAAAGAAATCCTTTGTTCCCACCTTGTGCTCCCAAGGGAGTTAACCATGAAGATTTCTTTAAAGAATGTAAAAAACCGGCTTGTCATTTTGTTGCAAAGGACTACGGTCATCTTGATATGTTGGATGATGATACTAAAGGGATCAGAGGACGTTCATCATATTGTTTGTGCAAAAATGGCAAGGCTAGGGAGCCCATGAGGAGATTTGTTGGAGGAGTTATTGTTGCTTTCATGAAAGCTTATCTAAATGGAGATAACACTGACTTGATTGCTATAAGAGATGGGCATGAAACTGCACCGGTGGAGCTTAAAACCGTTGAATTTCTTGATTAACACTTCAATATAGCTTGGTTCAATATTAGCTCAATTGATTTATACAGTCTTCTTTAAGAGATTAGAGATTATTCAATAAATTTGAAGTTCAAATCTAAATATATGTAATCATTTCTTCTATCATCACGTTGCGATCTCATATGTAAAATATATGTAGTATATGGGCTAGTAGTAGCCCTTTGATGGTTATGAGTCATGAATTCTATCTTAATGCAAGCTCCAAGGCTCTCAATTTGATGTTCAGAAATGATTCAAGGGATATTTGTTGAATGTTAAAACTCTTTTGCTTGATGAATCAATTCAAATGTCTGCAAATGAGATAAAGCTGATGATATAAAATCTTTGTTTTCAAGCAAATTAACGAGTTTTAACCATCAAATTCAAGAAAATTAAAACATTGCTTCAATCCTAGCCATCACTGGGCGTGGCTGTCTTTTTTGTCTCTTAAGTATTAACATAAAAACATGTTCTAAATGAGTTGTTACAGTTAGAGACGTAATTGAATCGAATCGAAATTAAGTTACTATACTTTTATATTTCAATTTCATTGAATTTTATTACTGATTTTTTTTTTATCATTGTATTTTGAATTTCGTTGATTATTGAAGAAGAAAAAAGAAATTAAAATATTTAACGAAACGGTATATCAATGTTAATATGAGAATTTGTGTTATATTTCCAATTTTATTGATCTTAGAAAAAAATTAATGAAATAAAATATTTCACATAAGACTTTGTTAATGAAAATAGTATATTTTAAATCATTTTCATTATATCATGTCCAACAACAAAATTGAAAGTACATAATCAAAAATAAACTGATGAATAGGGTTGGTAGCCCAACTCGGAATTAACGGTTTCGATTCGATCTAATTTTATAGGAGCAATTTCTTTTTTAAATCGGGTTTTGGGTCAAGTCGGATTCGAATTTTAAGCAAACCTGACCCGATCTAATATTATGTAAAATTTTATTTTTAATTATTTTTTAATTTTTATATATATTTATATATTTATATTTAAAAAATAATATTTTATTAATTTCGGATTGGATCGGATACAATTTATATAATATCAGATTCGGATATAAAAAAATAAAAATATTTTCGGATCGAATATAGATACAAATTTTATGATTATAAAATCAGATCGAATTTAAGACGAATAAAAATTTCATCATGATCCGTTGTTATCCCTACTGATGAAATGCTAAGAAAAGAATTTTTGCAGTCTTACACTACAAACAAGGCAAAAAAACAAAATTACGTAGAAATTAAACAAGTAAAAAATATTTTGGTGAGTATATCAGCCATGTTATCTTCACTCCTGCACTAAACCATTTTCACCTCTTGTTCTTTTCAGCTTCTCTAACAAACTAAAATTTTAGTTTCATGAGCTTGATTTGGCCACGATTTACTAGATTTTCTGCAGTAGTTATGGTTGATTGAAGTGAAAACCATGCAAAGTTACTTTGCGGTTACTTGGTAAAGTCATTTATTTCAAATCCAAAATACCCTTCTAACTGAGATAGATGAAGAAACGAAACCTAACGAAACCTTCCCTTTTTCTTTCCCAACTAAAGCCGAAACCTAGGTACTCCATTGAAGCCTCACCACGCCGCCTCCATTTCCCATTGAAGCCCCATAGTTGCTATCGCCTCCACTCCATTTCGCTGCATCTCAGCCAGCGATGTAAGAATCTTCAATTTTTTTCTGTTTTGCTATGTGACGTGGTGTGGGCAATTTCAAGATTTCTATCCCTTCTAACTCGTATCATTGAAGAATCTTCACTCATATATATTTTACCCCTCTTTCTTACAGTAGTTTGAAGACTTGGGTTTGCGACATTTGATATTCTGAAGGGGTGGGAGGGAATATCAAACACCACCTTTGTTTACATTCACATTTTTTACAATTTGTTACAAATACTATAGCATAAACTATCAGAGTTTTCAACGAATTTTTTGTGAATATTATCGGTTTTTATTTATTTATGTTTATTTATTAAACTTAAAAAATAATCTTAAATAAGATGTGAACATTATCGATTTTTATTTTTTTATATTTATTTATTAAGTTTAACAAATAATTTTGAATAATATTTTTATATTTGCTTATTAAATAAACTGAATTCAAATAGAAATCTGATTCTTAGTTTATATTGGTGAACAAGCTCATTAAAATTCATTTAAAACTCATTCATTTAAAATTCGTTTATTTATTATTTATTTATTGTTCGTATATAATAATATTAATAAAATTATATTTTTATCATTTACTTTAATTTTATTTTAAAGTTTATTTATATTTGTTTAAATTCGTTTATATACATTTAGGATTTATTTGTTTAAATTTATTTGATTATAATTTATTTATTATTCATAAATATATTCATTTATAAATATTTGTGAATATATTTATTTAATATTTATAAGCTAATTTGTTTAATTTAATTAAATTAAATACGAATCAAACGTAAACAATTTATTATTTAAATGAATCAAATATATACGAACAAAATAATTTTTTTATCAAATACAAACACTTTTAAAAATAAATAAATAAATCACAAAGACACGTACAAATCTCATACATGCATGCTATCGTTTATGTATGATTCGTTTCAGCACTATGTTTTGTTTAAGATAGACTCCAAAGCCAAGGTTCGCCGGTTCGAATATCAATCATAGCTAAAAAAAAATGGAATTATTTGATTTATTTACTTTTGGAGTATAGCAGTCCATTGGTTAAGCCCAAACTAGACTAAACATGGGTCTATAATCAAGCCCAATGTCCTATACGATATCCCATATTCCACCAGCACTTCTGCAGCTAAAACTAAAAGCCTAAAACAGAGCCACCCACTTCTGCTCTACAGACTACAATCCCCATTGTCAAGAACTTCACCGCCATCCTCGTAGGCGGCGCCACGAACACCAATCATCTAGCCGACCACCAGTGATGAGGACGTTTCATTCACGGTTTTAACTTTCGTAAATTACCAGGAAATCCTTTCCTTTTTGTTGCTGACTATTCTACTTCTTAGTAATTTTTTTTGCTATAATTACTTTCTTTTAATCTAAAATAAACTCCATAGGATTATAAAATTCGGGTATGTCAATTTTGTTTAGTTTTTAGTTTAATTTCCTTCTGGGTATTTCTTTTTCTTTGGTTTTTTCTTTGTGTGTTTCAAGTTAATGTATTTGTGATTAACTTTCAAGCTAAGTCTTTTCTTTTATATATATTGAAAGAAGAAACTTTAATTGAAGGGAATTTAAGTTTTGTGCATTGGTTCGTTTATGATGGCATGAAGAAGTTTGTTTTTACTGTCTCTGTGCATAATAAATTTATATAACCAGACTGTTACTACTTACATCTAAACAAGGAAATATTGATCTTGTTCTGCTTTCTCAGTTCCATTGTTGTTCATTTTGGAAGGTGTTTCATTCATCTCATGCCCAGTAGGCCATTGCAAAATTTGGCTTCTCGATTCCTATCAGTTATCAGTATAAGCAATAGAATATTAGAAAGCTAAGCAAGGTTTTTTTTATTATTTATGCTGTTTGATTTATTGCATTGCTGCAGTTGCTGTACTTGTTACTGATTAGGCTGGGAATACAAGTGGAAAAATACTAGAAAAATGGTGTATTTTGTCACACACACGCACACACATATATATTTGATTCTGTTTTCATATTTGCAGGATCTTGCCATCCAGCTGACACTGCTTTCGCGTGTTTGGTTGATCCTTCTCTTCTCTGGTGCCCTTAAGGATGAAGATGTATGTGCTTCCCTTCTTAATGTTTAGTTTGTTTCCTTAAGTTTGATGCTTTAGCTTCTCCAGTCAATTTGTTGGCAACTTTTTTTTTTTGCATTTTTCCTTTTCTTTTAACTTGAAGTGTTTATCTTCAAACGTGTAAGAAGGTTAAGTATGTTGCAGAAAAGAAGCTAATGCTGGTGCACTTACCAACTTTGAAGTACTTGACTTTCTACGATCTAGAGGGGCTTCAAAGGATCCTACAAGAGTTATTGTTCCAATAGCACCATCTGAATTCAAGGTTGAATTTGTTATGCTGATTTTCTTTCCTATTTATGTTCTCATGGTATTAAAAAAGTGAAACTATATCTGTTGCTTGGTTTTCTTCTTATGTTCTAGGTCTATGATTATTTGGTGGAGAGTGCCACATGCAATCAAACAAAGGAACACATCAATGAATTCTTGGAAAGATGTAAAAAGTATAAACTTGCAAAAGCTGAGGTGCTCAATATCATCAATCTGAGACCATCTGCTTTAGTTGAAATCGACCCGGTAAAGCTTTTATTTTCAATGTTTCTATTCCAATATTGCTAGAGCAACATTATCTTTTACAAGTCATCCATGACCATTCTTATTAGGATCTACAATTTGTTTCTCAACTCTTATGCTGACAGTATGACATCTCACGGCATTTCCTTCTTATTTTGTTCATTTTTTCATGCCAAATAGTATGTGGTATTTTCTTGATATAATACCTAATACGGACATTGGAGCTTAATTGCTTTGCAGAAGAGTTTGTCAAATAACTGTCTTCTTTGGCACTTGCCTTACTTCGTTTAGTGTTTTGTCTTCCCAGATAATAGAGCAGTCCGAGAAGCGATTTGGAGATCAACTAGAAGAGCTGGTTAATTTGGTGGTAGAGGTGCTGCCGGAGCCTCCTACACAAAAAACTGCTGAAGAAGATAGCAATAAGGATAAAGAAGAAACTACAGACGAGAAAAATATGGATGGGAATGAAACCGAAACTGCAAATAATGAACAGATTGATGAGCATGAAACAGAACAAACTGAAGACGGTGAGCAAATGGAGGTTAGTTAATGCCCTCTATGCGGATAGTTCCAATTGCAATTGTGCTCTTGGATATTTTACAAAACTGGTTTGCTCATCTTATGAACTTGAGTTAATGCATTTGGAAGCCTCATTTTTGTAAAATTAACGAGTTTATCTGAAGTAGATTGCTATAGCCATGGTATTATCCCATTTTTAAGGTATTCCGAGTATAATACTTTAAAAATCTCGAAGTGAGAAAATTTTTTTAAATATTATCAATATATTGAAGTATTTATAAAAAATTTTTAATATGATAAAAAATTTTCTTTCCTTCCAAAAAAATAATAATAATTGTAATAATGAAAAGCAACCACTGAATTTTAAAAAAATAAAATAAAATAAAATGTGTGCACTAATATATTATCTTTTTCATTGCATGCATGATATTGTTTTTATGAAAAATAAATACAAACTTTTGAAGAGGAGATTCTATAGAAATTCGAGTAGTGATTCTTAATAAACTCTTAGGTAAGAAAAATTCTTACAATGTGACTAACGTACTGGAATATTTTAAGAGTTTTTTAGATATCAAGGTTCTAACTTATTTTTTTTAAGTAAATTAGATTAATCTTTAAAAAAAAAAAAAGTGAAGTAACAAAAGTAGAAATAAAAATAGTCAAGGAAATTATTTTTAAAGATCAAAATTAAAAGATAATACGTAATTAATTAATATCATTTTTTAACGGATGGTATAAAAATGTTAATATTTTTTTACTCGTAACCAACATTTGAGCTCAAATTGTTTTTGTAAGCCCAAAAAAATATATCTTTTTAATAAATTTTAATTAATTTTAAGATTTTATTAAAAAAATAAAATCTTAATAGATGATTAATCACATAAAATCAAAAAAAAATTATTGGTAACTCTATTTGTTTTTAAATTCATTTAATGGTTCTAAACACGTTATGATAATAAATAATATTAATGTCAATTTTCACTTCAATAATTTATCTATTAACTTATAAAAAAAAACTAAAAAAAGTAATTTCCATCTTCAATAACTATGTAAATATTAAAGTATATAGTTAGAGAAATTAATCAAATCAAGTTCCTCGTTGACGCTATTTAAATTTCACCTTTGTTTCTCTCATTAGAAACATTCATTGCATCTCACATGAAGACAAAAGGAAGATATTTCTGTTGTCAAAAAAATCAGACAAAACTTACATAAAATTTTTTTTACGTGAAGCATGTAAGATTCTTATTTAAAAATAATTTAATAAAAATTTTAATAAAAAATTTAAATTGATAAGGTTCAATGTAAAGATTAATAATATAAAAAAATTATTTATAATTTAAATTCAATCGAAATTTATTCAAAGTTAAAATTTTGTCAATATTTTTATTAAAAATATTTATTTAAAAAATATATATCAAAATTTATTAAAATTTTTTAAAATTTTACTTATTTAATTTATATAATAAAATTTTTAATATATCAATTTTAACTTTTAATTTTAATTTTATTTAATTATTTTTAATAAAAACTTTACGAACTCTATCTAAATAATTTTATCCAAGTTTTTTCCCAACAAAATTTGACCCAAGAGAAACACAACCGCCTAGATTTTGAAGCCCAAACAAAGATAATGCAATTAAGGCCCAAAGTTTAACTCTCAGCCAGCTTTGGATTTACTCAACTACAAATAAAAAATATATATATCTACCTTCTCCGTAGGCCATTGACATAGCTACAAAAGGGTAAGGCTAGGGATGCCAAATGTCATACAATAAAAGAAACTTATCCCATTAATCCCATAAATCTACAACAACAAACAAACATAGGAACGAAGTAAAGGAACTAGCTGAAGCAAGAAAGAGTGGAAGTCATGTCTGCTCCGACAACGTCTTCTGCTGCAAATGTTTTCGGGTCTGGAAGCTACAGCACTGTGCTTAAAAAGGTGGACTCAGTCACCACTCCTTCACTGCCTGTTCCAGCCCCAAAGCCACTTCTGATTGCCACGCCTTCTGAAATGGGGGAATTCCCACTACTTATTTTCCTCCATGGTTACCTTCTTTACAACTCTTTCTACACTCAGCTCCTCCAACATGTTGCTTCCCATGGCTTCATTGTCATTGCTCCTCAGGTATAGGCCTACAGGCTAATCTGCTTTCTTTTCCTTTATGCCTAGCCCATGCATAAGCTTATTTGTGTTATGATCTTAACCCTTTTTTTCATGTACATAGTTGCGGAAGAAAATTGTGATTGTTTTAATTTTCCCACTGATAATCTTGATTTTTTCTGCAATTGGGGAAGTAGTTCAAACTTTGACAGCCATGAACATGATGGAAATTAAAGAAATTTAGAGGCCTTTTATGTATGGATTGTGTTTCAAGGGTCCACAATTTGTGTTATGATCTTAACCCTTTTTTTCATGTACATAGTTGCGGAAGAAAATTGTGATTGTTTTAATTTTCCCACTGATAATCTTGATTTTTTCTGCAATTGGGGAAGTAGTTCAAACTTTGACAGCCATGAACATGATGGAAATTAAAGAAATTTAGAGGCCTTTTATGTATGGATTGTGTTTCAAGGGTCCACAATTTTCCCCACTTTGAGGTCAAATTTCTTTGAAGTTGTTGTAGTCCACATATTCTGAATTTTGAAATTACCTAGTGTAACCAACCAAACAGTCAAACCAGGCTGACACTGTTTTGTTTAACTTAGCCAATAAGCCAAAACAAGCAAGTGTGAAAAGCTTGACCTGTTTTCTTTGCTCAACGTTGAAAGGGGAATTGTGGCACCAACATTAATGATTATGACGTGATGTAATTAGCAGTAGATTAGCCAGAGGGTCCAGATAATTCAATTATTTCTGTATTTCTGATGATTCTGCTTTTCTTACTGTTGATATAGGAAAACAAAAACAAACACAAAATCAACAATGTAATAATTTTCAATTGCTGTTCTGCTTTTGAATCACACCCATTTCTTCATAATTTATACTCCAACAGTTGTATACCGTGGCTGGACCGGATGCAACCGATGAGATCAAGTCCACAGCTGCAATAACCAATTGGTTATCCAATGGAGCACTCCAAGCCTTGCTTCCACTTGATGTTAAGCCAAATTTAAGCAAGCTTGGACTTGCTGGCCACAGTCGAGGAGGCAAAGTTGCTTTTGCATTGGCTCTGCAGAAAGCAATGACTACATTAAAGTTTTCAGCCTTAATAGGTGTAGACCCGGTTGATGGAATGGATAAAGGGAAACAAACGCCTCCTCCGGTACTCACCTATGTTCCTCATTCATTTAATCTTGATATGGCAGTGATGGTTATCGGTTCGGGCCTTGGTGAAGTGAAAAGAAATCCTTTGTTCCCACCTTGTGCTCCCAAGGGAGTTAACCATGAAGATTTTTTTAAAGAATGTAAAAAACCGGCTTGTCATTTTGTTGCCAAGGACTATGGTCATCTTGATATGTTGGATGATGATACTAAAGGGATCAGAGGACGTTCATCATATTGTTTGTGCAAAAATGGGAAGGCTAGAGAGCCCATGAGGAGGTTTGTTGGAGGAGTTATTGTTGCTTTCATGAAAGCTTATCTAAATGGAGATAACACCGACTTGATTGCTATAAGAGATGGGCATGAAACTGCACCGGTGGAGCTTAAAACCATTGAATTTCTTGATTAACACTTCAATATAGCTTGGTTAAATATTAGCTCAATTGGTTTATGCAGTGTCTTTAAAAGATTATTCAATAGATTTGAAACTCAAATCTAAATATATGTAATCATTTCTTCTATCATCATGTTGCGATCTCATATGTAAAATATATGTATTATATAGGCTAGTAGTAGCCTTTTGATGATTATGAGCCATGAATTCTATCCTAATTCAAGCTTCAAGGCTCTCAATTCGATGTTCAGAAATGATTCAAGGGATGTTTGTTGAATGTTAAATCTCTTTTGCTTAATGAATCAATCCAAGTGTCTGCAAATAAGATAAAGCTGATGATGTAAGATCTTTCTTTTCAACCAAATTAGTAAGTTTTAACCATCTAAGTCAAGAAGATAATTAAAACATTGCTTCAATCCTAGCCACCACTGGGCATGGCCGTCTTTTTCTGTCTCTTAAGCAAATTAAAACATGCTCTAAATCAGTTGTCATGGTTAGAGACATAATTGAGCCGAATTGGAATCAAGTTGCTATACTTTATATTTCAATTTCATTGAATTTTACACTAACTTTTTATTTTTATCATTGTATTTTCAATTTCGTTGATTATTGAAAAAAAATTAAAATATTTAACCAAATAGTATATTAATGTTAATCTGAGAATTTGTGTTATATTTCCAAATTTATCGATATACAAAAATTAATGAAATAAAATATTTCACATAAGACTTTGTTAATGAAAATGGTAAAGTTTAAATCATTTTCATTATATCATGTCCAACAACAAAATTGAAAGTACATAGGCACAAATAGACTGATGAAATGCTAAGAAAAGAAAATTTGCACTCTTATACTACAAACAAGGCAAAAAAACAAAAGTACGTAGAAATTAAACAAGTATAAAATATTTTGGTGAGTATATCAGCCATGTTATCTTCACATCTGCACTAAACCATTTTCACCTCTTGTTCTTTTTCAGCTTTTCTAACAAACTAAAATTTTAGTTTCATGTGCTTGATTTTGCCACGATTTACTAGATTTTTTGCAATAGATATGGCTGATTGAAGTAAAAAAATCGTTTTTTTATTAGGAAATAGATTTTTAATTGAGAAAAATTCACGATTTTAAATCTAAATTGATCTTTCTTAATTCCCATCACACTATTCACATAAGCCTAATCACACCAAAATAAGACAACCTTCCTCTTGTCATAATAATCCAACTCAATGACGTCATTAATTATATTATAGTAGTCAACATTTCCCTCCAAAGGGTTTATACTCGATGGTCTATTAAATTTTGTTTCAACATCTTTCAAATATCGAGAATAAAATGTCATACACTCTTCTGTTAAATATCCTTCAATAATAGAACCTTTCGAATAATGTTTGTTGTGATAATAAGACTTTAACCTCCTTAAAAACCTAAGGCATAAAACATTTGTCATATACCTTTTTAAATAGTATCATAAACACTAACAACTTATTAATAAATAATATCTTTTAATATGATACATCCATCAATAATAAACTAACCCACCAACTTTTGATTCATATGAAAGGTGGATAACCAAATACATAATAATAGTGAAGAAGTTTGGAAGGAAAATTTTCTCTAAATGGCATAAAGTAATCGCAGCTCGATCTTAAAATTTGTCAAGCTTTTCCATATTCAAAACTTTCTCACAAAGAGCTTTAAATATGTTACTTAATTCAATTACAACTAAATTAATTTGTTTTGATATTGATGAACGTAATGTAAGCGGAAGTAAGTCAAGCATCAGGATGTGATAATCATGTGACTTCAATGAATAAAGTTTTCATTCCTTCAAATTCACACATCTTGATATATTTGACGCATAGCCATCCGAAACTTTTACATTTTTCAACACCTTACAAAACACATCTTTCTAACTTTTAGACATCCTAAAACAAGCAGGAGGTAATTGGGATTTGCCATTAAGAAGTAACTTTGGATGAAGGCCAGGGTAAATCCTCATGTCAACTAGGTCAAGCCGACTCTTTAAGTCATCATTTGATCTTCTATTCACATTAAGTATTGTCCTGATAAAATTTTGCAAACATTCCTCTCTATATGCATCACATCAAGGTTATGACATAATAAATTATATCTCTAATAAAGCAATCAAAGAATATACTTCTTTTTTTCATAACTTATACTCATTGGGGTCATTTTCTTCATCTTTCTCCTTATCACCTTGAATATCAATATCACCAACTTGAGTATCAGCATCACTAACTTGAAGAATACAAGACCGAATACCTTCAAAGATCTCTCTCATTTTTTTTATTGAGTCATTTTTTCATAAATGAAATTGTTATCTTTTAACTTTGATAGGATATCAAACCTAATAATTGATAATGTCGCTCTTCTTAACTCTTCAATTCCATCAAAGAGATATTTTTGAAATCTAAATCGATAATTATCATATAACTATCTACAATGTGCCATATAACTAAACTTTCTATCATTATGTAAGCACTTTAAACATGTCTATACAGCACAACATGGATAAGTATAATGACCTTTGGTGCTCCAACCATATAAATTTGCATAAGCAAAAAAATTATTGATAGTCCATAATAAGATAGCATGCATATTGAAGTTTTTTTTGAAGCATTATAAGTCTCAACTCCTTCCCATAATTACTTTAACTCTTCAATCAAAAGTTGTAAGTAGATATTTATATCATTTTTCAGACTTTTCTTCTAGAAATTATCATAGACAAAATAAATGATTGTTGCTTCATGGCAATCCATGGTGACAAATTGTAAGGAATCAATACAACTGACCAAGTACTATAAGAAATACTCATTACTTTGAATGAATTGAATCCGTCAGATGCTAGTCTAAGCATAACATTTCAAGGATAAAAAACAAAGTATGAAAACCTATAGTAAAATGATTCTCATGCCAAAGAATCAGTAGGATGACTCAATAATCCATCATCCATTCATTCATTATGATATCATCTCATAGAATCTGTAGTCTTGAAAGACATGAAGAGTCATTGAAGTCTTGGTATTAATAAAAAATATCGTAAAACTTTTACAGGCTTTTTTTGACATGGACTTTATCATCATCATCCTTATTCAACTTTTTTTCAAGATTTATGTCCAACCAATGAGAATTACCACACACATGACAAGATTGTTGATTTTTTTTATCACCCCAAATAACATGCAATCATTGGGACAAATATGAATTTTTTTCATATCTAAAACCCAACTCCTTGATCATCTTTTTTGAATCCTCACAAGATTCAAGGATTTTTGCAATATGAAACATTTCTTTCATAAACTCCAATAATAAAGTCAACGAGTTTTTTGTCCATCTACATAAGCATTTCAAGTGAAAAAAAAAAAGGCACATAGAAAGACAACCTTGAATGCTTAAATCCCTCATAAAATTTTTTATTCATATCCTCAAGCAACTTATAAAATTTTGATGCTTCTCTATTAAGTTGTAGGTCATCTACACCTATCCCATGTTCACCAAAATCATTCACTTCAACATTTGCCTCATTAAATCCATTATTTCGAAGAGACGAATTATGAAAATGTTAGTTATGAATGTTAAAAGCATTCTGCAACATACATTCTTTATCTTCTTGTCTAATAGGATCATGTTAGTGTTGGGGAGCCCTTGAAGTTGAAGAAATTCTAATCGTTGACCTTGACGGTATAAACTCTCCATGAAAATATCAATTAACATATCTTGAGATAAATCTAATACAAACTAAATGTTTCAAAATAACTTCATAGATTAGTCAATCGATATTAGCACACCTCAAACAGGGACATAATATCATATTATCCTCACTTGCATTATCAAATGCAAAATTAAGAAAATTTTTCACTCCATCTTAGTACTCTTGACTTAATCTTGATTTTGCATCTAACTCTTATCCATTTAGTACTAGCTACATTATTAAACCAAAATTATATAATTAATTATATGAAAATAAACTAAATATTACACTTAAATCAGTAACAAATTTAGACATCCTAACAAGTTACTTGAATTAATCAAAAGTGATTATTTGTTGAAAAGGGAAATACCTTCACAGATTCAAAACACTAATAGGCACAGACATGATTGATAAAAATGGAGCAATTGAAGATGAGCAAACCTTAATCTCAAACTGAAAATTAAAAAAAAACATGTTAGTATGTTTACATATTAATATACAAGATGAGAAAAAAATTGAAAATAAATAGTCAAACAAAAGCAAAAAAACATTTGACAAAAAAGTATTTGATAAATAGCTATTTAAAACACCTCTATCTTTTTTATCCTTAACAATAAGGTGAAATGAACCACCTTAACAATATCTTTGAGCCATAGTTGAATTTTGTTCGACTCTTTGGATTGACTGAAAGAACTAATATTGAAATTATTATGCCCTTGGTGCAACATGTTTACTCTTGGTGTTGAGTTTTCTTTTATAAGGAACCCAAAACTTTAGCCATCAAAGCCAGCTGACTTTAGGTTAAAACCACAATACCACACCAAATTTGAACCATAAAGTACAGATGATTTTAATTTATTAAATGTAACTTATTACTTTCAATTTGTTCCTTATAATGATTTTAGCCTAAAAAAATCTTAAAAGAGAGACAAACTACAGCTAAGATTCGAGTGTACCTAAATAAATAGAAAGGAAATTTATCTCTATTGACTATAACTTGCAAACGATTTCCGCAACAAACCAAGCCTTGCCCCAAACTCTGTCAGTTCTTTAAGCTCTGCAAACTGCAAACGATTTTAGCATCTCAAGACTTTACTTGCTAAGAGGAAATTTATGTGGAGAGGAAATCCATGAAAAACAAAAAGACCAAGGCCGTAAATAAAGAGGAAATCCATAAAAAAAATTAGGTTAAAAAGCAAAAAATCGATTGAAAAAATGTAAAATGCGTATGACTGGAAATGGCAGAAATGGCAGGGTTAGAAATTTGAAAAAAATTTTAATGGCATTTCCTTTTTAAAAACACCACCAAATACCTTATTTAGCGGCATTTCCTTTTAAAAATGCCATCAAAATACATTTAAAATGGGGAGTTTTGTGTTACTAAAAATAACTTTTTAGAGATTATTTAAGACATTTTTGCCTATTATTTAAAGCATTTTTGCCCATTATTCAAAACGTTTTTAACCAAAAATACCTTCAATAATCTCTTTTAATTTCTATGAAGAGATTATTCAAAGTGTTTTTTGTCAAAAATACCTTAAATAATCCTCTTTCAATAAGTTTTCTAGTAAAAATACCTTCAATAATCCCTTCTAATTTTTTATTAGAGATTATTGAAGGCGTTTTTAACCATATATGCCTTGAATAATAGGGTTATTCAAGGCGTTTCTGACCAAAAACGCCTTCAATAATCTTTTTTAATTTCTATGAGAGGATTATTCAAAGTATTTTTTGTTAGAAACGCCTATGGGGTGGGAAAGACTTTTTTCAGTAAAAAAAAAAGGTTAAATCAACAATATTAGCAATTGAGTAAGAGTAAGCCCTACCTTCTGTCGTCTAACATTTTGAAAAGGCTTAAGAAAATGGCTAGGTCAGAGACAAAGATGCCATAACTTTATTTAATTGAAAGATAAAGGCTACCATGAGTGGATTCTTTTCTTGACTCATCACTCAAAAAGTAGAAATAATAGAAAGATTCTTTCTTCACAAGGAGGAGAAGGCTCGGGTTTTCAAGGCTTCTTCGATGAAGCATTTGTTCAAGAATAGCTTCTTTTGGCCAATAGTAAACAATATTGAGTAGGTTATTCAAGGCGTTTCTAATAAAAAATACATTCAATAATCTCTTCTAATATTTTATTGGAGATTATTGAAGATATTTTTTTATTAGAAATGCCTTGAATGACATATTATTGAATGAGTTTTTTGTTAGAAACACCTTGAATAATAGGGTTATTCAAAATGTTTCTAGCTAAAAATGCTTTTAATAATCTTTTTTAATTTTTATGAAGAAATTATTGAAGGCGTTTTTGACCAAAAATACCTTGAATAATCAGTTATTCAATGCATTTTTTATCAAAACAACCTTCAATAATCTACTTCAATTTTTTATTGGAGATTATTGAAGGTATTTTTAGCCAGAAATACCTTGAATAATGCCTTGAATAACCTCATTATTCAAGGCATTTTCTGACAAAAAAGGCCTTCAATAATCCCTTTCAAGTTTTATGAGGGGATTATTCAAGGCGTTTTTTTCTATAATCACCTTCAAAAATTTGTAAATAAAAAATTATAGAGGATTATTCAAGGTGTTTTTTGGCTAAAAACATCTTGAATAATCCTTTACTAAAAACACTAAAGCAGCTCAATCGGTTAGAGTATACGTCTATTAACCATAAGGTTCTAGGTTCAATCCCTCATTCTAGTGCTTTGAAGGTTTTTTAAGGAGTTCAAAAATGCCTATTAGCGACATTTACATTATAAACGCCGCTATATTTATAAAAGTCAAAGTACATAACAATGTTTAGGTCAACAAATGCCACAAAAATATTTTTTTAGTGGTATTTTTTAAATTAAAATGTCGTTATATAAAAATTTAGTGGTGTTTTATAAAAAAAGGTCATTAAACTTATAAAAATGTAAAACTTTGTGACGTTTATTTAAATATACCGTTAAAAAATACCCACTAAATCTTTATTTTTTTGTAATGAATTTATGCAAAGTTACTTTGCGGTTACTTGGTAAAGTCATTTATTTTATATCCAAAATACCCTTTAACTGAGATAAATGAAAAAACGAAACCTTCCCTTTTTCTTTCCAACTAAAGCCGAAACCTAGGTACTCCATTGAAGCCTCATCACATCACCTCCATTCCCCATCAAAGCCCCATAGTTGCTATTGCCTACACTCCATTTCGCTGCATCTCATGCAATTATGTAAGAATCCTAAATTTTATTTTTTGTTTTGTCATGTGATGTTGGTGTGGGCAATTTAAAGATTTTTATTCCTTCTAACTCGTGTCATTGAAGAATTTTCACTCATATATATTTGACAGTAGTATGAAGATATGGGTTTCCGACATTTTATATTCTGAAGAGGTGGGAAGGAATATCAAATACCACATTTTTTTGCATTCACATTTTTTACAATTTGTAACAAATTCCACCCTTTTTGGGTTATAAACGAATAAAGTTTTCAATAAATTTTTTGTGAACATTATCGATTTTTATTTATTTATATTAATTTATTAAGTTTAATAAATAATTTTAAACAATATTTTTATATTTATTTATTAAATGAACTAAATTTAAATAAAGATCTCTTTAACTGGTTTATATTCGTAAACAAACTCATTTAAAATTCGTTTAAAATTTATTAATTTAAAATTTATTTGTTTATTATTCATTTGGTGTCCATGTATAATAATATTAATAAAATTATATTTTATCCTTTACTCTAACTCTATTTTAAAGTTCGTTTATATTTACCTGAGTTCGTTTATATACATTTAAGATTTATTTATTTAAATTTATTTGATTATAATTTGTTTATTATTCATAAATATGTTTATTTATATATATATATATAGTTGTGAACATATTTATTTAATATTTACGAACGAACTTATTTAACTTAATAAATCAAATATAAATCGAACTCAAATTGAGCACGGATTAATTTTTTTAATTAGCCGAGGTTCTCCGGTTCGAATATCAATCATAGTTAAAAAAAAATGAAATTATTTGATTTATTTGCTTTTGGAGTATAATATAGTCCATTGGTTAAGCCCAATATTAGACTAAACACGGGTCTATAATCAAGCCCAATGTCCTATACGATATCCTATAGTCCACCAGCACTCCTGCAGCTAAAACTAAAAGCCCAAAACAGAGCCACCCACTTCTGCTCTACAAACTACAATCCCCATTGTCAGGAACTTCACCACCATCTCATAGGCGGCGCCACCAGCACCAATCATCCAGCCGACCACCAGTGATGAGGACGTTTCATTCACTGTTTTAACTTTCGTAAAGTATTAGGAAATCCATTCCTTTTTATTGCTGACTATTCTACTTCTTAGTAATTTTTTTTTTGTTATAATTATTTTCTTTTAATCTAAAATAAACACCATAGGAGTATAAAATTCTGGGTATTTTAACTTTGTTTATTTTTGCTTTTAATTTCCTTCTGGGTATTTCTTTTTTTTTTTTCTGTGTTTCAAGTTATTGTATTTGTGGTTAACTTTCAAGCTAAGCCTTTTCTTTTTTATATAATGAAAGAAGAAACTTTAATTGAAGGGAATTTAATTTTTGTGCATTGGTTCGTTTATGATGACATGAAGAAGTTTGTTTTTACTGTCTTTGTGCATAATAAATTTATATAACCAGACTGTTACTACTTACATCTAAACAAGGAAATATTGATCTTGTTCTGCTTTCTCAGTTCCATTGTTGTTCATTTTGGAAGGTGTTTCATTCATCACATGCCCAGTAGGCCATTCCAAAATTTGGCATCTTGATTCCTATCAGTTATCGGTATAAGCAATAGAATATTAGAAAGCTAAGCAAGGTTTTTTTATTATTTTTGCTGCTTGATTTATTGCATTGCAGCAGTTGCTGTACTTCTTACTGATTAGGCTAGGAATACAAGTGGAAAAATACTAGAAAAAATGGTGTATTTTGTCACACACACACACACATATATATATTTGATTCTGTTTTCACATTTGCAGGATCTAGCCATCCAGCTGACACTGCTTTTGTTTGGTTGATCCTTCTCTTCTCTAGTGCCCTTGAGGATGAAGATGTATGTGCTTCCCTTCTTAGTGTTTAGTTTGTTTCCTTAAGTTTGATGCTTTAGCTTCTCCAGTTTTGTTGGCAACTTTTTTTTTCTCATTTTTTCCTTTTCTTTTAATTTGAAGTGTTTATCTTCAAACGTGTAAGAAGGTTAAGTATGTTGCAGAAAAGAAGCAAATGCTGGTGCACTTACCAACTTTGAAGTACTTGACTTTCTACGATCTAGAGGGGCTTCAAAGGATCCTACAAGAGTTATTGTTCCAATAGCGCCATCTTCCAATAGCGCCATCTGAATTCAAGGTTGAATTTGTTATGCTGATTTCCTTTCCTATTTATGTTCTCATGGTATTAAAAAAGTGAAACTATATCTGTTGCTTGGTTTTCTTCTTATGTTCTAGGTCTATGATTATTTGGTGGAGAGTGCCGCATGCAATCAAACAAAGGAACACGTCAATGAATTCTTGGAAAGATGTAAAAAGTATAAACTTGCAAAAGCTGAGGTGCTCAATATCATCAATCTGAGACCATCTGCTTTAGTTGAAATCGACCCGGTAAAGCTTTTCTTTTCAATGTTTCTATTCCAATATTGCTAGAGCAACATTATCTTTTACAAGTCATCCATGACCAGTCTTATTAGGATCTGCAATTTGTTTCTCAACTCTTATGCTGACAGTACGACATCTCACGGCATTGCCTTCTTATTTTGTTCATTTTTTCATGCCAAATAGTATGTGGTATTTTCTTAATATAGTACCTTATACGGACATTGGAGCTTAATTGCTTTGCAGAAGAGTTTGTCAAATAACTGTCTTCTTTGGCACTTGCATTACTTAGTTTAGTGTCTTGTCTTCCCAGATAATAGAGCAGTCCGAGAAGCGATTTGGAGATCAACTAGAAGAGCTGGTTAATTTGGTGGTAGAGGTGCTGCCGGAGCCTCCTGCACAAAAAACTGCTGAAGAAGTAAGCAATAAGGATAAAGAAGAAACTACAGACGAGAAAAATATGGATGGGAATGAAACCGAAACTGCAAATAATGAACAGATTGATGAGCAAACAGAACAAACTGAAGATGGTGAGCAAATGGAGGTTAGTTAATGCCCTCTATGCGGATAATTCCAATGGCAATTGTGCTCTTGGATATTTTACAAAACTGGTTGCTGATCTTATGAACTTGAGTTAAAGCATTTGGAAACCTCATTTTTGTAAAGTTGACGAGTTTATCTGAAGTAGGTTGCTATAGCCATGGTATTTTCCCATTTTTATTATTATTTTTTGAATCAGTTGCAGTGTACAATTGAAACCCCATTACCATACCCTGGCTTTTTTTCTCTTTGCTTGGTTCAACTGTACCGTCTTTTTCGTGGGAGCTCTAGGCAAGCCTTTCGACTTCGTGGCTCAACCCAAATTAGGCTTTTTCGTGAACCTGCTAAGGCCTGGACCATTCTGATTTTTGGACCAACCCTTAACAAGGATTGCAAAAGTGAAAAGTGAAAGCTAAGTATATTTTGTACGGATGATCTGTTAACAAAATATTAAATTTTAGTAACAAGGTTTAAATTTTCCTATTATTTGAAGCTATCATGGATTTAATCTAAAGAATTTAACATTTATTAATAGATTACATAAATTATATAATTATTAATTATAAATATATATTTTTATACTTGTATAAATATAAAAAATGAAGATAAAAATATTTTTTTCTAACCAACAAAAGAAAAATAAACATAGAAACTAGAACATTTAATTATAATTTAATTTTTCCATTGATTATTATTCTAATTAATTAAGACTCTTTTTATGATTTTTTTTTTGAAATTCTTTGTTATAAAATCATCATTTGAGTTTTAATTAATCTAGAATCAAATCTATAAGATTTAAAATTAAAATTTTATTTAAAAAAAAAAAACCGAATTCTTTATTATTCAAATCAACTAACATTTACTATTCCTAACGAGCTATGTTTGTACTTTCAAAAACAATGTACAAGATAAAATGACTGTGTGAAATAAAGAAGTTGGATATGAAGAAAGAGCAGTCCTTTCACCACCTAGTCCAACAGTATCCCCAATAATTCATGTCAAATCAAACATCATTTCCAAGTGTCATTTCTTAGTCTCTCTGCTCCTGAAAATACCCCACAGATGATGGGCAAAATGACCAACACTCTCCCTTGGGATTTGAATTTATTTTGAAGGCACCAAAACCCAAGCCTCTTCCCCACTCCACCCACTCTCGTCTTTTTGTCGACGTGTCTTACCAATTCACTTTCTTTTTTCTTATAAATAAAGTGAATTTTAATTCCTGGTATTTCTACCACCTACGTTATAATCCGAGAGAAAAGAAACTTTATTTATAAGAAAAAAAATTATTGAATTTAATATTATTCTATTTAAAAGTATAAAAAAATTATATATATTATAATAGTTACACAAATTATTTTAATATTGTTTAAAGATAATGTTTGTATAATGTTAATATATTTTATTGCTTTATAATTTTTAAATTAAAAAATATATTTATTAATATATAAACTAATCTTTACAATATAAATTATGTAAGAAAATATTTGAATCAAAAAATGAAATTAATCTATTAAAATCATAACAAAAAATTATATTATATATAAAACATTAAAAAATAAAAAAACACTAATTATTTTTAAACTTGTTACAATGAATATTAATTTAAAAATATAAAATAATTATCATTTTAAAAATAAATAAGTTTTTAATTCCCATACAAAATTAATAATATTAATTATTATTAATTTTACATATCATTTCACTTTTGTAATAAAAGTTTTTTATTTTTTTAAAGGAGAATTAATCACTTCCAGTATAAGTATATGATCTTTTGAAGATCTTATATTATTGTCATGTAAGATCATTGGATGCTTATCAAATACAATAATCTAATCATGTATAAATCATCATAATTTTTTAATAATTATCTCATACCAAATAATCATCATATTAATTATTTTGAAATGTAATAATTTTTAAATAAAAGGAGCATATAGAATATACTAAAAAATTGATTAAAAAATCACAATTCAATATTTTTCAATTCAATTTTAATTATTATAACACTTACATATATATTAAATTAAATTTACATGTTTGTTAAAATATAATGTTGAAAATTTTATTAATCATTTTAAATTAAAAATTATTTATAATAAGTAAATAAAAATTAAAGAATTATAATTATTTTTTAAATTAAGAGTTTTAATATTTGCATACAAATAATTTTTTTAATTCAATATAAATATATAGAATAAATAATAATATATTTCAATATAACAAATTTAAAATTGAGAGGGTCAAACTAATATTTTTATAAAAATTTTTACAATTATTATAAAAATAACATATATAAAAAAAAAATTAAAATTTTTGGAGAGAGCATGACCCCTACGTTCTTTAAAGGATCCGCCGTTGATCTCATCTTCACCGAGAGTTGAATCAGTTTATCTATATTGTTGCATTTCGTTTAAAAAAAAAAGATAGATTAAAGTTGTGGGATATGACAAAGGAAAAATGTTAGTTAGAAAATTATTTTTTGTAAAAAAAGGTTACTTTACAATAAGAAAATGTCAGGTCTCGTGAAGGGAGAGTTGAACAAGACATCATAATAAGGAAAATTGGGAGTGGAAGTCTCTGACTACATCTATAAATATCGTCCCTTTGATTGATATAAAGGTTTGTAGGGACCCCTTTAAAGCAAATGCTGTGGGGCTCTAACTTTTTTCTTGTAATAGTAATTTTTTTAACCTTTTAACACACTCTTTTTCCACAAATTCTATACATTTTTCAGATAAACAAACTGCCACATGCAACCAAACAGAAACATATGTTCCAACCCTAGATGTTATGGCAGGAAAGACACCAATCCCCTCGTGTGTATGTTCTGAATTTATTACCTGAGATTTTCTTTCACTATCTCTCTTCCCTCGCCAATGAACAGCTCACTCTTTTCTCCTTTCATGGAGGAGAAAGAAAATTAGTCATTGCTGGAAGAGTTGAGAACAACTTTTGTTTTTCCTCCAAGATGAAGAAAAAAAGATGTAATCCTAGCTGTAATATAATTATTGATAGTTTTTTTTATTTGGTGATTGGATTTTTGCTAAAAGGCTGATGAGATGACTAATTTGAATGACTTTAATGATCTATTACAAAGAGAATGGTTAGGAAGGTGCCAAAAGATTACTTCAAATTTGGAAAAGAGAGAGCAAAAGATTCAAAATGAATTATTACTTGTGACTCAATCTTATTTTTTATATTCAGTTTGTGTTGACGTAGATAATTGACTTAATCAATATTAATCAATTGTTGTATTAGTCGATATAGTTGTCAATACGACGATTAATAGATGCTGACTTGATAATCAAAATATTGATTAAATGATCGAAATATAATAGCAATCATGTTTTAAAACAAAAAATTTATTGGAGAAGTTCTCTCTTTATTTTTTTAATATTATTGAAAATTAATGAAGTATTTTTTTGCCTAAAAACTACAATAATGGTGGGGTTGGGTCCTTGGGATAACATTTCTTTCTCAAGAATGTACCTCAAACATACTAATAAAATTGATAACATTAAATTCAAATTTTAATTAGAAGATTTTCTGAGGAGCTTAAAAAGCACCTTGTTCCCTTGTTAGCAAACATTCCACATGCCAATAATTTTCTTTTTCCTCAAGCAATTGAAATAACATCAGCCCATAGAAGTAAAATATAAGTAAAGCTCCATTTGAAGGTTCAATCATAAAATACAGGTTCTGATATGATAAGAAGACTCCCATCACACTCTCAAATGGAAACTCAAATTGACAGAAACTCACACTATTGTTGACCAAAGAAAGTTGAATTGTAATGAATAAATTTAAATATTTTATAATTAGCAATAGCTTATACATTTATACTCAAATTATACTTTATTTAGTAATGTTTGAAAACATGATATATGATACAATAGGAAAGTTATGTAAAATTAAAAAAAAAAATGGTTGAATAGTAGCAACAAGTTGAAAATTATTTGATTCTTGTTTTAAATGCATAACTAAATATATATGTTGACAATCATTATGAATTTTACCATAAAGAGTTTGGAAGTGTTAAACTATGTGAATCCAAAATTGAGTCAAAAACTTAATTTATATATACCATGCATAAATATAAATTAATTTTTTTTTTAATTTTCTTTGTTCATTAGAGTCTCAGATGTTTCAAAATTACATCTGATTCTTTTACATGAAACTTTTAGTTTTTCATATTTCAGATTTATTTTTTGTAATTATTTTTATTTTTGAACATTAAAAATTCTGAAAACATTAATTTTATAAAAAAACAAAATTTTAATAGAAAATATATTAAAATTAAATTAATTTTTTAATTTTGTGAAAAAAATAACATAAAAATAAAATGAAAAAGATAATAATATACTTTCAAACTATTATAACTGATATTTTTGAATTCTTCAATTTAATCAATTCTCAAAGTGTTTTTGGTGAGATTAAACAATCACAATTACTTTCTTTCTTTTTCTTTTTTTTTTTTTTGTGATGATCATCACTTCCCAACACAAGGCACATTGCTGCTGTCCATGTTGCACTCCATGCGAGCAGCAAAATCGAGTTAATGGTTCTTAAACTTAAGAAACATATCTTGTGTCCAAAACCCAAGGACTGAAAATGGTTAATGCGTAGTAAAACCATACGGTAAACTTGACATGTACGTTTCAAAACTACCCTAGCTAATGACCCAAAGCAAAGGTAATTGAAGATTTGAGGAATTCAGTAGGGTAGCTACAGTGGTGGATCCAAATGGTGAATTACGATGTCTTGGATACTCTTTAAAAATTAAAATAAAAAAGTTCTTAACGTTATATCCGTTCATAAAATTAATAAAATTGTCGTAATTTTTTTTATGTATATATGGATACTTGAAAAAAAAAAAATCTTGAATCGGGATATATATGGAAATTTTAATCCTCTGAGAGAGGGTACAAATCATTGAATGCTGTCTTATCGATCCCTTAAACAGCGAAAGAGATTATGAATAGGAAGAGAAAGAAGAGAAAAGAAAAAGTGTGCACAGTATGAGAAGGAAACAAACAAAGAAACAACCAGGTTTCAGATGAGGAAGGGAACAAACAAAATGTCCCCATCATTGTTCTCCTTTGATGCTCTACTGTAGTTTCAAATTCTATTTAGAACAGAAAATAATGGAACTGGAATCCCCATCTTATTGATCATTCACATGCAGATTGCTTCTTATCTAGTCTAGCTTTCAAGACATAGCTGATTGCCACTTTTCATCAACACACATACTTGAAACACATCCCCTTTTCCTAACTTGAACATGTTTAGGAGAGATCATAAGGTAGTCTTGAATTCTTGATAATATTAATTTCAGCATGATGGAATCCTTTAGCATTAATTAAATATGTATACTTAACAACAACTAAATAAAACCCTTTCCGATTTTTTTTTTTTTTTGTATTGAACTCTTCATTCAAAACCTAAAGATATATGTTAATTATATGGGTAACTTTATAATTAAGTGAAGTTTTCATTTTCATGTAAAATCCATTGAAATTTCCCCAAAAAAAATGCCATGTACAAGAAATATTAACTCTATTAACTGGATGTTAACCAAGGAAAAATTTTAGGAGTCAGTTGAACATGCAATTTCGTCACCAATTGGCCTATCAAGGACTTTGCACTCAACTCTAACCACAAATCATACTTTGCATGATATTTGTGGAAGAAATATCATCAGAGTACTGCTGCCATTTCGGAATTGTAGGCAAAAGATATTTCGTCGTAATAATAAAAAAATTATATTTAATATGCTGTCAAATATTTAAAATTAATTTTTTTAGGAAGTGCAAAAATGGGATTAACAACTAAAAACGGCTGCATCTGGGTTACATACATACGTGCAATAATCATGAGTCATGACAGAACTAAAGTAAAAGGCTATTAGCATAAAGCTTAGAACAGATCTCATTTTCAGTGTCAGAATTGATTAATTTCAATTCAAAGCTAATAATAAGTGCTTATAAAAGGAGTAATTAACGAGAATAATATGCATGCTACTACAAGTAATTAACATTACAGACAGTAGCAGCTTCTGTTTTTTTCATATAAAAAAAAAACATAATCTTAATCACAGTCTCTAATTCCAATTTGTTTCATACAAACTTGCTTCAATGCAAGTGTAAAAGGATAAAAAAAAAAAGATCAACAGCAAAGGAGAAAGATGAAGAAGTAGAAGAACTAAAAGAGAGAGAGAGAGATGAGAGATCCCTCTTGGTAAACTCACCTACATATTATAACTTACATTCCCAAAGCTTTCTTGTCTCTCACAGGAAATGCAAATTATATAAACATGGAAAGAAGTAAAGAACCAACGATGTAAGTTACCAAAATAGCAATAATATATTACAAGTACTAAACTTTCTTTCTTTCTTTTTTTAAAGAAAGGTCAGAATTTTAGTGTATTTGATTTGTTCTTTTTATTTTTTCCTTTAGGGCATGAAAAGCTTGTGGCCACACTCGCAACGCCAAGCTTCAGGGTAATACTCAAGAGGCATACTACACCCTGGTTGAATCGGGACGTGAACCGGTTTACAAGGTGAGCAACTTCCACATTTGGATCTACAAGAAGGTGGTGAAGAACCCGGGCCGTCGAGTCGTTTCTGAGCCAAGAACCGGTCCAACACCCCTGACCCATTTCTCTTCTTACTCCCCTCTCTCTCCTGGAACCCGCTGCCTGCAAAAAGAAACACAAAATCTCACTGAGTTAAGACCGAGTCAATGGTTATATATACATGTATTCAAAGTTCAGAAGTTAAACCAAAAAGGAAGGAATTTAAAGTCCATACCGAATTGAGAAAGAGTGATGACAGAAGCAGTAGCAAATAACAGAAAAGTGAAGGCAACGACGGTCTGGTGGTAGCGGTGGCGAGATACGCCCATGCTGAGGAGGTTATTAAACTCACCTCAAAGAGCAAAGAGAAAGGACTGAGGAGGAAGAAGATTGTTTTGCCTAAAAAAGGAGGGGTTGCTAGTTTTGAACGAACGCTTTTTTTTTTCTTCTTTTGCGTGAGCGAATCCGAGTCGAAGACACAAATACACAAAAAGGCTTATAAGAGAAAAGAGATATAGATTTTTGTTTTATTGTTTGGCCAAATAGGTGAGGCTGGGGTCTACCCCTGAATGATTTTGATTTGAACGGATATTTAAAACATGATACACGACTTTTAAACTATATATATATATATATATATATGCAATATGAAAATAAATAGGTATGAGGATTTAATAAAAATAAAAAATATATATTTTGCATTTTTCATGTAGGAATGATTTTGATCTGGACGGATAATTTAAACCACGATAAACGACTTTTAAATAATATATATATGCAATACGAAAATAAATAGATATGAAGATTTAATAAAAATAAAAAATATATTTTGTATTTTTCATATTAATATATAGGGATGATAACGGTTATGATTGAATCAAATTTTATTTTATTTTTTTAGATAATACATAATATTATAAAATTTTAAAATTTGAATTGATATTTCATATAAACCAATTTGATTTAAATCGAATTTTATCGGTTCGATTTGATTTATTAATTTTTAAATTTTTTTTTATAATATTTTAATATGAATTTTTAATATTTAAATAGTTTTAGATATAAAATAATTATTTTTATTTTTTAAAAATTTTAAAAATATATAAAAACTAATAAAAATATACAATTTGAATCGATTTGGATTTTTTTGATTTTTCACTTCTCAATTCGAATTTAATATATACATTTAATAATCAAACTTAATTCGAACTAAATAAAAAATCAATCCGAACTAAACTGAACACTATAATTTTGAATCGATTTTTTATTTTTTCGATTTTTTTCTTACCTTACTAATATGAATTGTAATATATAATTTTTATAAAAAATAAAATACAAATACATGAATTATCAAACTTTACATAATACGAATAAACAAATTACCAATTCTAATTATGGTGATGTTTTTATACTTAGCTTCATAGGAGTAAGTATATTTACAATTGTTCCTAAAAACATTACAAGTGCCAATGAAACCTTCTCTTATTAGCAAGGTTAAGATTCTAAGTTCAAGTCTAATTGTATGAATTTGGTTGTCAGTTATATTCTAATTTATTAATTAATTATTTAGTGATTATAACTTAATTATAATGTAATAGTTGATTATTTAGTTGATTATATGGATATATACTTATTATGATTGTCACTTTTCTTATACTTATAATTTCATAAAAAAAAATTACAAATATGTGAATAAACATTATTACATTACAAATTTTTAAAAGTTTATGTTTGATGCACAATTAATATATTTATATACTATTAGTAAATTATATGTTATCACCTTATTAATAAACAAATATAAATTTTTACAAATCATTAAAATAAATATCTAAAAACTTAAATTTTCTTTTAAAGCTGTCTCATTTAATAAATAATATCCTATGATTTATTGATAGTATATAAATTTTATACATTAACTATCATAACATATAGATCCATAAACTTTTAGCTAGACTGCACTTTAGAAGTCGTCACTAATTTTTATTATTTATGTGCGATTGGTCACTTAATATATTTGTCTATAAACCATAACTAAGTTTCAAAGTATAGTTACATGTGATGATGTTTATAACACCTCTCATCGCCCTTCCATAGTATGGTACCAACTTGATTTCATGCTATCCAAAAGCCTAAAAAAACTTACCAAGTAATTCAATATTGGAAATTATCCTTACATTACACTAATACGTTGGTAATAATTTAAGAACATCCCCTCACCTCAAAAGTATTCAAAAAGACTATTTATTACATTTTGAAGATGCTCCATCATCAAATTCATTTAATTTTTATAAAAAAAACTTTTACTTGTGATAATTGACATTTTTGTGAGAACATTGATATTGAATATCTTTTTTAAGCTTTTCAATATGTTGGTAAAATTTAAAAAGAATTTTTCACCTAAAAATTTACATAGAAATTGCTATTTACAATGCTATTAGTGATTTCATCATAGGAGATTCAAAATCTAACTTTATAAAAATGCTTTTTATGTTCATAAATATCCTCCAATATGTTGATAAGATTTTGTGCTAAAAATTATCCTCCAACATGTTAGTAGGATTTTATGAAAATTATTACCTTTCTAAAAACTAATTGTTATTTAAAAACCATAAAGTTTTTCAATATATTGGTAAAACCTTATCTTAAAAATTAAATTACCTTTCAATATGTTAATAAGACTTTTTATTTTATTAAAATAATTTATTAAAAATTTGAATCTTTCAATATGTTGGTAAAATTTATTTTTATTTGAAAAAAATATTTTTTTAGCAATTTGAACCCTCCAATATGTTGATAAAGTTCTTTTTATTTTATTTAAATTTAAAAAAATATTTATAGATAAATGAATAATAAATAAATAACCAATAAATAAAAAAATAAATGAAAAACAACTAAACAAACAACTAAATAATTAGACATAAATAAAATAAATAAATAGAAAAAATAATAAAAATAACAAGAAAATGGCTCAGCTAAGGCGGTTGAAGAACGACAACTCAAGGCATAGAGGAACGACATGGCCTACGGTTCATGACTCAAAGCTCAATCCAGCTCGACTAGAGCTAAGGGATGGAAGTGGGTCATAACGTGCAGATCTTGAAGGATTTTTAAAACGATCAAAACAACGTCATTTCCTTCTAGTATAAAAGCCCAATTTTCTTCTTTTTCTCAAAATTTTCCTGACTACTCTCTCTTTTTCCTTTCTTTTCTCAATCTCTCTCTTTAAAATTCTTTAAACACCAGTCGAAAACTCTAACAAAACCTAGATTATGGTGAAAAAATGCATATTCTAGCCGAATATTATCAGAAAACTAAAACTTGGTTGCTGAAAAGTTCAAAATACCCAAAATTTTTTAAAATTTCCCAAGAAACCTAAAAATGAAAAAAAGTAAATTTATCCCTTTTTCTTTTTCCAAATCTCTTTCTCGATCTTCTAAAAACTTTCAGCCACACCAATTCTAATTTCCTTAATTTTGAAATCCTAGATTTTTTCTGCTAGAAGCGTTATCTAAAAAAAAAAAATCTTGCGCTCATACTCTCTCTTTTTTTTTTTTGCATATATTTTATACTAATTCATGTTAATTTTTTTCGTCAATTATGAATTTGTATTTATAGGGTTCAAATTATAATAGCTCTAAATAAAAAAAAGGTTTAATTTTGCTTTAATTCCAACTTTAAACTTTGATTTAAACCTAAATTTTATAATCCCAAAAGAAATAGTCCCAAACAAATTCAATCACCTCAAGCGTCTCTTATTTTTCTTTTTTTTTCTTTTTTTTTACAATTTAACAAAAAATAAAAACAAACAAAAAATCATAGAATTAATCTCAGATAAAATGAAGTGTTTACGTTAATATTTCATTAAATATAAATTCTACTTTTAGTTTATGTTTCAAGGGACCATTTTCTTGTGGAACTTAAAATTTTGTCTTGAAGATTATGTTTACAAATTTAAATTTTATTACCATGAAATGAGATAAAAGATTTTTTTTATTGTATAATTTAATATTACATGTATAAAAAATACTTTTACTTGATAATGTCAATTATTTTTTCGTTGATATTTTGAAATATGCTGAATTATATCAAGTTGATTATTATCATTTTTACTGTGTTGATTGTTAGGAACTTAACAAATCAAAATAACCCAATACTTTTTGATTGATCAAAACAGATATATCGGTGTTAAGTTGATGATTTTGGCTTCATTTGAATGGCTAAAATGTGAAATTTCCCAAAAGAGTGTTGTTTAGTTAGATGGACATGTGTGATTGCGTAAATGTGTGGGAACATGGGAGTCTGTTCTGTCTCCTACGGGACGAACATCTGAGTCAACTGTCAAGTGTCAAGCCCCATTAGTCATAGCCACTGGCCATAACTCCCCCTTTCCCTAACATTATTGAAATTTTTTCCTGGAGTTATCATCTTTAAAGGTATAAATGATACATTAGTACTCATAAGTCACTCAATTTTGATTCGAAAAAAACATGAAACTCGATTCGATTATTATCGAATTGAGCTCGAGCTTAAGTAATTCAACTTATCGATCGAATCGAATTCGAGTATTCTTATATCCGACTCGAGTAGCTCGCGAGCCTAATCAAACTTTTATATTTAAATATATTTTTATTATTTTAATTAACAAAATATTTTGAGTCCGAGTTTGAGTTCGAGCATAAATAATCAAACTCTTGTCGGGTATACGAATCAAACTTATTTTTATATATTAACCGAGCTTAATTGAGCGAGTTCGAGTAGTTCGAATTCGATAACGAATCGAACTCGAGCTTAAAAAATAAAATTCGATCGAACTCGAGTCGAGTATCGAGTCCCGAGTTATAAGTCGAGCTCGAGCTCAAACTTCTCACTATTCGACTCGACTCAACTCGATTACACCCCTAACCATCCCATTTCTATCGGATCAAGATTTCCACGTACGATAATTATTTTAAATTTTATTAATTTAGAATCAATTGAATTGAATTTTATAAAAATAATAATTTTTTTAATATTTATTTTTTTATTCATAAAATTTTAAAAATAATTTTAGCTCTGATGAAAGTGAATTACATGAAAAGAAAAAAAAAACTGAAAATTTTGGTATTGCTGCTGCAATTTTACCTATATTCTTCTTCTTCTTTTTTTTTTTTTTCATTATACTACGAAAATTTAACAACCTAATAATGAACTATTGACTGTTTGAAAGTTTTGAATTCATATTCCATTATTTTCATCTTTCCATTTTGGTTAAAATATTAAAAAGTCTTTGAATTATTTCTTTTTTTAAATAAGTCATTATATTTTTATTATAACTAAATAAAATTTTATCATTTTATTCGTATTTAAATAAATGCTCATTTCAAATAATTTAAATAAAAGATTAATTTATATTAAAAATTTATTCATATACAAATTAAAAATTAAAAATTTATTTAGATACAGATTAAAAATTAATGATTTATTTGAGTAAAAATTAAAAATTAATTAATATGTT